CACATTCATCTTTTAGAGATCACATGGATTACATGAAGAATTAAACACCTAAATTAAACATCAAATATTAAAAACAGACGACATGGGTTTTAATGGTGGAATTGAAAACAACCCACATATGTTTTAAATCACAGGCGGAATCTTTTGTCAAAATTCTAGTCAGCATTTTTTGTGCAAATTAAAAGCTTTATAAGATTTGAGAAATGTGAGGTGTATAGAAAAGATTTGAGAAATGTGGGGTGTATAGAAAATATGGGGTGCATGTAGAAAATGTAAGGTGTATATTGAGAATGTGGGGTCTGAGGGTATTATGGGGAAGCATATGGGGTGTATTAAGATAATTTTTAAGTGAAAAGCAAATGTGTGGTGTATTAAGTATATGAAGTTTATTCAACAATTTGTGGGGTATTAATATAATAAGCCTAAGATATTTTGTTGCAAACATTTAGATAAACTAATTTTTGTTATGCAATATATTTCAATATACTTTGTCTTCTTCATTGAGGTACATTAATTCATTTAATATATTTTAGCATATCAATTTTGGTACACACATTTAGGTACATTAATTCAATATAATACATTTTGTTGAATACATTGCGATGCATACATTTCAGTACTAGTATTTAGGTACATTAATTCAAGATGATACATTTCGGTACAAATTTTTGGTACGTACATTTCGGTATTAATATTTAGTTACATTAATTGAGTCTTTCAAGTTTGAAGAATGTTAAATTTAAAAAAATAAAAATTGGTCAAAAATTAAATTAAAATGTGTATATTAACAAATTCAAATATTTTAGTGGGAGACATTGATAAAATACACATTAATTAATTTGAATTAAGGACATATCAAAGGACTATAATCAATAAGTAATCTAACACCAGACTTTTATTAAATTTCAATCATTTTCAAGAATTGAAGTTAAAGGGCCCCTTTATATAATTACCACCCAATCTCATTGTTACTTTGGAAATTTGGCGATAGGCGTTACTTCTCCGACAGTAAAGTCACATACTACAAATATTAGTACACAATCATTTTCATTAAACTAGTGAATATGATAAATTTATTAAATTTAAAGGATAATACTTTTGTTTTTTAGGTGAATAGGTTGACCTTCATGGATTTTTGAGTAGGGCATGGTTTTAGGTTGAAGCGTGTAACTTCACTATTCTAAAAATAGATGTTGCTATTTGAAGACAATATCACGGTGTAACAGACTACTGACATCGTATACAACAACATTTAATCCTAGTAAGCGTACACTCAAAAAACATCGGATGAACTAAGTAGTTCTTCTTTTGGTACGTAAAGAAGAATTGTAGTTCGGATGGTTAAAAAAACTAATGTTAAAAGGAAAACCTAAAAGGAAAGAAGTCTTCGAAAGGAGATCATACAGAGCTACTCTTCGGGGGAGAAAGAGAGATAATGTATTATATAGAATGACAATTGACTCAACGCAAATTGGAATTTAAGCAAAGAAAATGGTTCAATTGAACGTTGTAGACTAAATAAACCAGAATGATATGTTCTAAGTGTTGCTTGTCATAGAATCATACTAGCAATCGTGCCCGCTCGATGCTGCGAGTTTTAAAATTGTATAAAACATGCAGAAAGTACCAAACACCTACAATAATCAACACTATTTACATACATGTGAAAATCTATTTACGACCACATTTACAATGATTAACATATTTACAACAACTTACATATATATAGGTGTCCAAATGTCCATATCATGGTCATTCGATTCTGGTGCAGAGTTCACACATTTCTATGGGTTTGAGTTAAGGAGTTCAATGAACTCACTCTAAACTCCGATGAATTACATGGCTGCTATCTGTCGGGAACTCATTATCAAGCTCAGTACGCACAAATTCTTCGTATCCACAAAAGCACAAATTCTTGTACTTCCGAAAGCATCCACAACCCAATATAAAACTATACAAAAACTTTAATAATACATGAACCATAAACACAAAATAAATTCCCTGACCAAAAACCTCTGAAAAACCAAGCTTGCAGGCATAAACACAGTCTTCAATCTTTTTGGGCTAAATTGATAACATAACCAATTCAACCCCATTTCCACAATTAAAATTTTAAAACCATCAAATTTGTAGATTAAAAGTCATGATATCAACTGCAGTGCGCAGAGAAAAATGCAACTGCACATAAGCTCTTAAGCACATTGCAAGTCACAATATCAAAGCAGTGATGAAACTTCTTCACATGATATCATTTTGAACCGTGCCAAAGTATATGAATTCTACGTGATTTTGTCAAGAGTAACAACTGGTGCAAGAATTAAGATAGAAAACAACGCTGGAATGATGAATTCTGAGAACATAAGGCATGGATTATGATTAAAAGTACCTAAACCCTAATTTCTATCGCTACTATTGTCTTTCAAATGAATCCTCAATTTCTGAAATCATGGAAAAGAACTGCCTGAAAAAGTTATGAAAAAAAAGGTTCAACTGTGTACAGGCACCTATCACGCTCTCTTATCTCTCTCTGTCTCTCTTCCCAAATCAACCGCTCAATCCCTCTTTTTTTTGTTTTTTGGAAAACATGATATAGCATTACCCGGGCAAAGATGCTAAAAGTACCCGAAGGCCTACAACGAGGCAAACAACCAAAAAAATAACTAGGAAAAGGTAGTTCAAGGAGGTGACAGGAGACCTAGATGCCGCACCTAGTGCTAAAGCGTCCCTCCTCACACTACCAATACAATTAGTGGGGACACGAGAGACCGTTATTACGTAAAACATAAATAAGGAAAAATGGGGATCTGTTAACCCAAATAAAATCACATACTTCCCTACCATGTCACGAAGCCAAAGATCAGCTGCCGAATTGGCCAATCTTGGAACCCATAACTAGCTACAATCTTGGAAATTAATGCATTTCACAATAAAAGGGAAAGCTTCCCAGCTGCCCTTCTCGCCATTTTTCTCCCTGAAATCCTACACCCACCCATAAGCCCTGCAAACCTGTCTCTGACACCGACGTCACCCCTAACCCCAAACGCTGCAGCCCAAATTGCCCTCCTAATTTTTTATAATTACCCTTCGACCCAGCCATGTATGATGGCTGTGGTGGTGCGGTGACACTAAAATAGATCATCACAATTTTCTTGTGGATAGGTCATTGACTTTGTGATACACATCATGGCCAAGGGCTTGTTTAGTGTAGGAGAAATGCTAAAGAGATTTTCTTAAAAATAAGATTATCAGCATAATTCTCGTACCAATATTATAAAATATTGTTTCAAAACAATGACATGGCGTAGAGTCTCTTTAGTATTTCTCTTAGTGCGTTATCCATGTCATTGGTTTTATTTATGGAGACACGTGAATGTACAACAATAAATCTTTGAACCTTTAAAATTGAGAAATAATGTTTTTTTAAATGACTCAGTAGTATCTTGCTAGAGCATGTAAAGGTAATTTAAGGAAATGAATTCCAAATTACAAGAGTGGAATCATTAGTGATTACTTGGGTAGTTGACATGAAAGAGCCCAAATTAATGTGATTGAGAGCATTGTATAAGATAAGCATCGTGTTGCATTAGAATTTCAAAAAAAAAAAAAAATGTTCTTCCTGAATTCTACATCGACTTGGAGCTACGATGTGCAGCTAAACGTCACACATCTCATTAAAAGGCTGAATTAAAAAGTGAGTTCTATTCATTCAGCGATTAGATGAGTCTAATTATCTCATTAACTCGTCGATTAGAAGCTAACAAATCGCACAACCATTTCTAATACCAAGGTTAACATCAAGCGGAGTTAGAAATCTCGTCGCGTAAGGCATCACGTTGGAGGTACAGGTATGTGATGTCGCGCTATGTTCGTGACTTGCATTGCATAAAATAATGATTAATAAAAATATATATTAGTACTTGCACCAAAACATATAATTTAACAACAATTCCACACTCATTGTGACATCCCGTCCCGAAACTATCGAACCGTACGTGTGAAATGACCATTTTACCCCTAGTTTGTTCTATTATGTTTTTGTTGTTTAGTGTGGTGTGGACATGCGTGGGGGGGTCACACACACACATTCACCCTTGCTTTCTCTCCCTCTCCCTCTGACTTTCCTCTCTCTCTCTCTCCCCCGAGCTCCATTTCTCCTTCTTCCCTCTGTAAATGTACGGACACACACACACCCACCCTAAACGTCACAGATCGAGGGATCCAAGACTACCATTGAACTCGTGGAGCTGAGAGGAGTCTAGTGGTGCCATTTTCAGGTAAGAATCTCGACGTTTTCACGTCGATTTCACAAGGTCCGTTTTGGGTCACTATTCATGCAAACCTAATCTAGTATGTTTTTGGACATTTTAAGCTTGTAGATGTGTTAGTGAGGTTCCCAGGAGCTTGGGAGTGCTTCGTTGGGTGAATTTGGACGTCGGGAAAGCTTGGTTCAAAGTTGGCCGAACTTGGATCGTTGTTGCAGGTGAGATTCTTTGATTTTTAGGCCTTAAAACTAGTTTAACGTGAATCTACTAGTCCTAAGCTTCATTTTGGTATAAAGAACGTGAAAAATGGTTGAAAAACGAGTGAGAAAACAAAGTTGGAAAATTTTGCAGTTTTCCGGCGACGGCGGTGGCTCGCCGGAGAAGACAGGGGAATATTCCGTTAGGGTTTAACGGAATATTCCTAACGGACAGTAACGGCGTCAGTCAAGGTTAACGGAATATTCCAGGGAATATTCCTGACGGCGTCACTTGACGCCGTCAGTGTGCAGGTCACGTGGCCGCGCGTGGGGGCGCGTGGACCCGTGTCTGTGCTGGCGCGTGGGGGCGCGTGACGTGTCCAAAAATTATTTTAAAAATATGGTTGTGATCGTGAGGTTGTGTAGATCACGTTGGTATATTCATTTGTCCACTTTGAGCAATGTATGAGAAGTTATTTTGAACGGACGGTTATGTGCTTTAAAGTTAACGTTTTTATAGTTAATTCGCATATAGGTGACACGTATCCCGAGGACGAGCGTGCACATTCGAGGCAGGGGGGCTACGACCCTTCTACATACCAGTGAGTGGGCTTTTGTTTTCCGTATACACCTATATACATGTTATTTCCCAGAAATTACGATAAATGCCTCGTTTTACGCCATTAATTTTATATGATTGAGTATGCATGATTAGTGGCACATGAATTGGTTTATATTTATTATTACGTCATTTACATATATGTTGGTGCTGTGGCGGCCCAGGTAAGTGCCAGGTAAGCATGGTTTATCATTTGCATTAAATAGCGAGTAGAGGTGCTTTGAGAGCTCATAACCTGCACCCCCGGTGTTAGTGCTCCCGCCAGAGTAGGGCATAGTCCTTCACGTGTCGTTCACCTCCCGCACCACACGCTCAGCTTGAATCCAAGTTAGGTGCACAGTCCCGTCGTACAAACCACTTTAGGTGGTTCCGACTCGTAGGTGACCCGCGATTATTCGCACAGCCTTCACGTGATCGTAGCACTAGAGCGTTTATATGTATTGCACCCAGGCTTGTCGTACAGACCACTATAGGTGGTTCCGACTCGTGGGCAGGTTTAGGGATTGAGTTGTGATTTGAGCTCTAGATTCAGCCGTACAGGTCACTTAGGGGACTCCGGCTGTTAGTTTATTATGCTATTGATGTGATATTCATATTCGAGCACTTGTATGTTATTATGAGGCGTTGAGCATGTTGGCATACCCTTGAGTATACTTGGCATATTTATACCTACGTTTATATGTTTATTTCTGGGAAGTGTACAGGTTTTACGGCGAGGGGTTATTATATGTTTCATGAAATGGTTTTCTAAGAGATTTGTTTTGCCCACTCACGCTTTTGTTTTTGCGCCCCTCCAGGTTCTAGTAGCTTAGCGGGTTTTGGTGGTTTTCTCGGAGGACGTCCCGGCATTCTGACAGATACTCACCTACGTAGGGTCACCTCCGGGTGTACTTTGGTTGTATTGTTTCTTTTGGACTGCTGTAGGCCTTAGGCTCTGAATTAAGCATCTTACTTTTACTGGCACATACTTATCACATTACATTGGCTGGTTTTAAATTATTCGCACTTTTATATTACTGTTTTAGCTTCCGCACTGTGCACATGGCTACGTCACTTTCACGTGACGGCCAGCACGCCCTGATCTTGGTCGGGGTGTGTCAATTTGGTATCAGAGCCTAGGTTTGGCAGTCCTGTGTCTTTTGTGAGTATTCTAATGGTTTTGGTGCCTTCTGTCAGAATTATGCCGCCTCGTCGGGAACCACGCCGTTCAGATGAGTCTAGTTTCCCCGATATCACTCAGCTGGGGGAAGCTATTGCTACTGCTATCCAGGCAGCTATCCGCCCTCCCCAGAGGACTCCTCTGGAAACTATGTACAACCTGAAATTGGATAAATTCCACGGTCACGAGGGGCACGAGGCCGCGGAGCGTTGGTTGGAGCATATTGAGAAGACTTTCCGAGTGTTGAACAATCAGGGGAATCTCCCTGTTGAGAGATGGGTCGAGACGACTTCATGGTTTCTGGGTACGGAGTCTGCATCATGGTGGGAGCAGGAGCTTCGTAGTTTGACTCCAGCCGAGAAGACGGACTGGAATGTTTTCATTAGGCTTTTTAAGAGGAGATTCGTGCCCCCAGAGTATATTGATCGCAAGAAACAGGAATTCACTGAATTGAAACAGCGGAAGATGTCTGCGAACGAGTATTATCGGAAGTTTACCGACTTGTCTCGCTACCACCCTGAGATTGCTAGTAACCCAGCGGAGATGCTTCGCCGTTTTCGCATCGGCACTAAGAAGAAGTGGCGTTCGATGTCGACCTCCACTCATTGTGATACCTACCAGGAGTTCTACGAGGTTTTGCTGAGAGTCGAGGACTCTGAGAATATGACAAGTGAGAGTGATGAGAATGAGAAGAGTGGTAATCAGAAGAAGGACGACAAAGGTAAAGGTCAGGCATCGCTCGGGCCTCGTCAGACTCAAAACTTTAAGAGGGATGGTAACAGCTCTAGCTCTTCTAGTGGTGGTTACAGTGCCACGGGTCAGGGACGAGGAGGTAGATTCACTGGTGGTTTTCGAGGCCAGAGACAGGGGGACGGTGGTCGAGGTAGGGCCCCACTTTGCCGAAGGTGTAATAATCGGCACATTGGCGAGTGTAGGCGGGGCAGTAGTGGTTGTTTCACTTGCGGACAGATAGGGCATCGAGCTGCGCAATGTCCCCAGGGTCAGCAGCAGAGACCGCAGCAGACTTTCCTGCCACCACCTGCCCCTATCCAGCAGATTCAAGGTCCTAGTGGTTACGGACAGGCAGGTCGAGGTGGTGCCTACCATTACCAGGGTGATGCTGTTCCCTATGCCTCGGGACAGTATCAGTATCCTCAGGACCCCTACTCCCAGGGTGGTTACCCTCAGTATTCGGGCGGCTATATGCCGTATCCTCCAGCTTCAGCCGGCGGTTCTCAATGGTATCAGGGAGGACAGATTCAGCCTGGAGAGATTGCTACTAGCAGTGCAGGGTCTTCGAGACAGACCGGTCAGCCCAGTCAGGGGCGTAGTACGCAGGGTCGTGGTGCTCAGGCGAACAGAGGTCGTGGCGGACGGCAGCAGGGCCAGGGGCGTATACACAACATTTCTCTGCAAGATGCTCAGAACAACCCGGATCTGATTATGGGTACGTTAAATATTCTTGGTTATTTTGCTAGAGTCTTAATTGATTGTGGAGCTACACATTCTGTGATTTCTCATACATTTGCTCAAGTGACGCAACCTCGCCCCACACTTCTAGGGTATGATTTAGAGTTCGCTATGCCTAGAGGGGAGAGATGTATTGTGGATCGTGTGTACCCAGGTTGTCCAGTGATAGTTGAGGGCGTGGTTATGCCCGCTGATCTTATCCCGTTAGATATTGTCGATTTCGATGTGATTTTGGGCGCGGATTGGTTGCACCCCAATCGTGCCAATATTGATTGTTACGGGAAGATGGTTACATTTCGTCGTCCTGGACTACCCGTGGTTACCTTTGTTGGTGAGCAGAGTGGGGTGAGACATGGTGTTATTTCGGCGTTACGAGCGAAAAAGTTGTTGACTAAGGGTTGTCAGGGGTATTTAGCCCATGTGGTATTGGATGAGGCTCCTCCTTGTGGTGTTGAGGACGTGAGGGTCGTCCGACACTTTCCAGATGTTTTCCCCGAGGATTTGCCTGGGTTACCACCAGATCGAGAGTTGGAGTTCACTATCGAGTTGCTTCCAGGTACTAATCCTATTTCGTTGACTCCTTACCGTATGGCACCTGCTGAATTAAGGGAATTGAAGGTGCAGCTGCAGGAATTAGTGGATAAGGGTTTTATTCAGCCTAGTACTTCACCTTGGGGCGCTCCAGTATTGTTTGTGAGGAAGAAAGACGGAACTTTGAGGCTGTGTATCGATTACAGGCAATTGAATCGGGTGACGATTAAAAACCGTTATCCGTTGCCACGTATCGATGATTTATTCGATCAGCTTAGAGGTGCTTGTGTGTTCTCTAAGATTGATTTGAGGTCTGGGTACTACCAGCTGAAGATTAATAGGGATGACGTTCCTAAGACGGCGTTCAGGACTCGTTATGGTCATTACGAGTTTCTGGTTATGCCGTTTGGGTTGACGAATGCACCGGCAGCTTTTATGGATTTAATGAACCGGGTGTTCCAGCCTTATTTGGATAGGTTCGTGATTGTTTTTATCGATGATATTCTGGTGTATTCTAAGTCGAAGGCGGAGCATGTTCGACATCTTACTTTGGTGTTGAAAAGATTGCGGGAGCATCAATTATATGCTAAGTTTAGCAAGTGCCAGTTTTGGCTAAATCAAGTTGCGTTTTTGGGGCATGTCATTTCCGCTCAGGGCATTTTGGTTGACCCTCAGAAGGTTGCGGCAGTGGAGAATTGGGAACAACCGCGAACCGTCACCGAGGTGAGGAGTTTTCTTGGTTTGGCGGGGTATTATCGGAGATTTGTTAAGGATTTCTCGGTGATTGCCTTACCATTGACGAGACTAACGAGGAAAGATGTTAAATTCGAGTGGGATGATAGGTGTGAACAGAGTTTCCAACAGTTGAAGCGTTGTCTCACTCAAGCACCTGTTCTGGCACTCCCGGACGATAGTGGTGATTTCGAGGTTTATAGCGATGCTTCCTTGAATGGTCTGGGATGTGTGTTGATGCAGCATGGTAGGGTGATTGCTTATGCTTCACGTCAGTTAAAACCCCATGAGTTGAATTACCCTACTCATGATTTGGAGTTGGCCGCTATCATTTTTGCGTTGAAGTTGTGGAGGCACTATCTTTATGGTGAAAAGTGCAGGATCTTTACTGATCATAAGAGTCTCCAATATCTTTTTACCCAGAAGGAACTTAATCTTCGTCAACGGAGGTGGATGGAGTTACTCAGCGATTACGACTGCACGATTGATTACCACCCTGGTCGTGCGAATGTAGTTACTGATGCGCTTAGTCGGAAGTCTCAAGGCCGCATTAATGCGTTGTATGCAAGCCGTATTCCTCTTTTGGCGGACTTGCGTGCTACAGGAGTGAGGTTAGAAGCAGAAGATCGAGATGTGGCTTTACTTGCTAATTTTCAAGTTAGGCCCATCTTAGTTGATCGGGTGCTTGCAACCCAAGCAGCTGATGAGCAGACTCAAGAATTAATTCAAGCTCGAGAACAAGGTAGAAGGAGAGACCTCAGGGTACGTGAATCGGATGGCATGTTGATGCAAGAAGGAAGAATGTTCGTGCCGAATGTTGTGGATTTAAAGAAGGAAATTCTGGATGAAGCACATATCTCGGCTTACGCCATGCATCCAGGAGCTACTAAAATGTATCATACCATTCGACCATTTTATTATTGGCCGGGTATGAAGAGGGAGATAGCCGAGTATGTGAGTAGGTGTGCCATTTGTCAGCAGGTTAAGGCAGAAAGGAAAAAGCCGTTTGGATTGTTGCAGCCGCTTCCCGTTCCCGAGTGGAAATGGGAAAATATCACCATGGACTTTGTGTACAAACTCCCGCGTACACATAACGGTTTTGACGGCATTTGGGTGATCGTTGATCGACTCACGAAGTCCGCACATTTTATTCCAGTAAGAGAGAGGTATTCTTTGAGTCGATTAGCGGAGTTGTTCATCTCGAAAGTAGTGAAGTACCATGGTGTCCCGGTGAGTATTATCTCGGATCGTGATCCACGGTTCACATCTAAGTTTTGGGTGGCTTTCCAGGAAGCTTTGGGTACGAGACTACTCTACAGTACGGCGTATCATCCGCAGACAGACGGGCAGTCTGAGAGGACTATACAGACTTTGGAGGATATGTTGCGAACTTCGGTGTTGCAATTTGGTGATGCTTGGCACCAGCGGTTGGATTTGATGGAATTTGCCTATAATAATTGTTTTCATTCAAGCATTGGCATGGCACCATTTGAAGCATTGTATGGTAGAGCTTGTCGCACACCGTTGTGTTGGTCAGAAGTTGGAGAAAGGGTCTTAGTAGGTCCGGAGATTGTTGAGGAGACTACTCAGAACGTTCAGGTAATCAAGACTAATTTGAAAGCGGCACAGGACAGACAAAAGAGTTTAGCGGATCGGCATGCTACAGACAGGGTGTACGAGGTCGGAGATTGGGTATTTTTGAAGCTTTCGCCTTGGAGAGGTGTAGTGAGATTTGGGAAGAAAGGCAAGTTAAGTCCACGGTACATCGGACCATACATGGTCGTGGAACGAGTTGGTGAGGTAGCTTACAGGTTGGAGTTACCTCCGGAGTTAGCCAGAGTGCATAACGTGTTCCATGTGTCTATGCTCCGACATTATGTTGCTGATCCATCACATGTGATACCTCCTCAACCGTTAGAAATTAACCCAGATTTGACATACGACGAGGAACCGGTGACGATCATCGACTGGAAAGAGAAGGTTCTGCGGAACAAGATGGTGAAATTAGTGAAGGTTTTGTGGAGGAACCATTCCGTTGAGGAAGCGACGTGGGAGACAGAAGCTCGGATGAGGGATTTGTATCCTAGATTATTCTTTGGTTACTAGGGGTCGTTTTCGGTTGTTT